AAAGTACTCATTAAGGTAAAAGAAACTTTAAACTAAATATTCTAAACCGAATGTTTCTCAGGTAGAAAGAATTTATTCTATTCATTTTTATATTTCTGGATCTTAGAATCCAATTGGTGTTTAACCTGTTTGTTGAATTAAATCACCTTGATTTGGATCTCTAGGGACTGGGAGAAATGGTCTGCCTGCATCCTCAGTCCTGAAATCTGTCCTCAACACAGGTCTCCCTGCAGACCCCACTCAGCCAAGGCTTGGCCACCTCTATGAATCCAGCCTTCTTCTCTCTGCTCTGACACTCCCATATTATATCTGTTCTTGGATTTGGGCAATGAAAGTATGCAATTTCTAACTGCTAAGGTCCTGGAATGCATTACTATTATTTTTATTATCATTCTTTAATGCTGGGCAATTAAGTTACGAAAGATACAAAGTCCATTGTGACCAAGAATTCCTTTCCACCAAGACTTAGAACACTTTCTGCCACACATTTCTGGAGATTAACTTTTTGAACCTTTACCACTTAGAATTTTTTAAAAAATTTTTAATTTAAAGGAGAATCTGAGGAGTTTCCAAAAAATCAGTAATTTTCTCAACAATTCAGAATTCCAACTTACAATAAATCTTTTATTCTTTATTTTACACATCAGTATTTTACAGAAAAAAAGAACCCCTTATTAAGCTGCAATTACTTAAATGTCTTCTGATTCTTTTCAACACAGATACATACAAATTTATACAAATATGTAAATATATGTTCTAATTAACATTTTTTGATCTAAGTTTTGCATACAATTTTACATATATCAATATTAACTAATGGCTATAGGTTTATGATAGAAATAACAATACACCAAAATTTATCAATTTCTGAATTAATAGGCTTTTTCTTTTAAATTTGTATGAAAGGAACTGCTACAGGTAGATTTTTTTTTTCTTTCTTTCTTTTAAGTATTTTCCCAGGCATACATGTGGTATTCAAAGTGATCTGGTATATTAAAAAAAAAAAAAATCTGTTACAGAGCTCTTATTAGTCTTCTAAAAAGTTCTTTAAAATGACTACTAATATATAGTGCTATTGGTATAGACAAACACAAATTTAAAAGTTTTGCTTAATAGCAAGAACTAGGTCAAAGTCATTTAAATCTCCTTTTAAAATATTTAACCTGAACATCTTTCTAAAAATTTATTTTTACTTATATCTTCTCATTTGTAACCTATCCCTTACTAAATCTACCTAGTAAAGAGGACAAAGCCTTAAGGATTTCCATCCACTTTTAAAAACATTATTAAACCACTTATATAATGCAAACACCCTTTTTATTCCATCTTTTCTTTTTGTTTATTATACATTTTTCATCTTTTTATTTGTTGATCTACCTTGTCAATATTTCTCATTGCCATGAAATTCCTTGGCACCAATATTGGAATGAAAATTGTAATATTTTCATTTTTACTTTTATAGTTAACATTTTAATTCAACTGGCATAAATTGCATTATCATATGTTAATCTATGTCCACAATGAAACAGCTAGTCTTTCTACCAATAGACTTTCTGTCAGTGTCTATTAAATACCTCTTTCTGTTTATTCATATTAGCTAAGATTTCTGCTCAGCATCACAGAGTTTTTAGATAAGTCACCCAAAGGCATGCTTCAAAGACTTAAAAGGCAAAGCTCCCACTTTTTCTCGTAATTTAAAAACATCTTTACCTGTTTACTTGCCTAGGTAATTTCTTTCAATTTTGTCAAGTTACATGAAACATCCAGTAGGAATGTTAAACGGTATTATAATAAATCTACACATCAATGTCATATATTGACATTCCTTTGGACAATAATTTCATGTTCACTAACTCAATCCTCACAATAATTATTAATTCTAATATAGGTGGTAAAATGGAAGCTAAAAATGTTTTTCCCCAAGATGAGACAACTAATAAGATGTGATGCAAGGACTCCACATGTACAACTTTTCCATTATATCAGGATGTCTCTCATGAGAGTATGCACATATTTTAAATTTAGCTCCTTCAACCTGCTTCTATTTAAGCATTTTTCTTAAATTGTCTCAATATAGTTGCATAACATCCTTTATATGGTTCATATATATTAATACCCAAACACTTTAAATTGCAGTCACTGTTGGCATCTAGAAATTAGATTTTTAACAATGATATATCCTGCAACTTCCTGAATTAGTCTCATTAATAGATTTATATGATAGTATAAGGTTAGCAAGCTATAAAGCCATGTAAATAGAAAATAAAATTTGTGGTGTTTTCTTATCTTTCTTATTTTGTGAATTTCTTTATCACAATGACAAATTTCTTCAACCATATATAAAGAAAATGGTGCCAGCATAGTTTGATTTCAAACTGAGAAATATTTGTTTCCTCAATATGAATATTAATTATTAGTTTTCAAGTAATTATCACACTAAAAAATGAAATCATTACCAAAGATAATTAAATCAAAGATGAATGATAAATTTTTAAAGAGTTGAGACTACTAACTTTGGCAGTAGCTAATACTTTGGATTTTTTACCATTTTATTCTACTTATGTTGATATAATGGCTGCTTTGCTGAACATCAGCCTTCTAATTCTGAGTCACAATAAATAAAGACTTTTGTTGATGTATTATTTGCCAACATTTTCCTTTTCATATTGCATTTGCTAAGAATGAGACCCTTTTAAGAATGTTTGAATTTTAATATTGAAGCCGTATGTACCTCAAAATGCAATTAATATTATATCATCTTTTATGATACACATTTTCCCTAAACATTTAAAAAAGTTAATAAATCCATTGGGTCAAATTCTAATTTGTCAGAAAACTATACTAGATTAAAATATCCTCTATATTTTTAAATGCTTTTTACAGTTTATAACTTGTCTCATTTCCAACTTGCTATTTTGTATTGATTTAAGAAAGTAAGATATTCATTTTGTTAGTTTTTTAAAACAATCTCTATTTGTGGCCTCATATAATACTCTTTATTTTTATTTCCATTATGTCTGTTGATACCATATTTTGCAACTTTTCACTGTTACTTTTCTGTATTTCTCATGAATAACCTGTGATACTGAAAAACTTTAGTAAGTCTGAATTACTTTCACTTTCATTTTATTTATCTTACAATTTTACTCATTTTAATTAGTATTTTGTAGTAATCAGGCATTTCAACTTTTTGATAGGTTTAAACTTTAGGATCTACTTACTAATATACCACTTTACTGTATTTTAAAAGTCAATATTAATATCAGCCCATGACTTTTATACTTCCAGTATGCTGTCAATTACTTAAATCTGTCAATTACTTAAATCTGTGATGAAGGACTGAATTAGAACATATTTTGGTCTACTAACATTTTTTAGAACACAAACTTCAGACCAAAAGATGTCACCAAAGAGCATTATTTTGTCAAACTTAAGTCGAATTCTGCTTCAATGAGATTCATAGCTCTAAAACATTTAATTAATCTTATTCACATTTCTATGACTTAACAATAAGCTGCAAGACCAGGGTCTGTCTACTTTTCTTGCCCAGCAACATTAGATTTTGATTTTCATGGGCACCTTTTCCTTCTCATTCTGTACCTATACGTTTCTAACAATGATTGCAGGTGGAAAGATGAATGGTTTATGGAATCATGAAAGAATGGGTTCCAATACTGGCTCATCCACACATCAGAATGAGTAATGATTAATAACTGACTCTCCATACCTCTCTGAAAATGTATGCAATAGTATCTGCCTTATATTGTTGAGAAACTGTAGTGAGAAAGCACAGTATGCCCAGCACATAGTAAATGCTATTTTGAGAGCAAACACGGTTATGAAATGGTTTGGGTTTCTATAGGATTATCATTCTCTCTGCCTGAGGACTGGAAATGGAATTAATCATGGAAATTCACCTCCTCTGACAGCTCCCCAAGCTTTCACCTTAGAAAGTTGGAGTAAATGACTTTTTTTTTTTTTAACTTTGGATGGGGGGCGTTTATTCTCCAGATATAGCTAAGAAGCAGAAGGCTGTTGTTACCTATTTGTGGGATGGGACACAACCATAGGGGCACAGTAAATCCTACTTTGACTCAGTATTTTGGTTACTATTGCTAATTAAAGTGACAGAGACAACAAGGTGGTAGTTTCATCCTGAGAAAACTGGGATAAGAAAATCTATTTAAGCAGAGAATTTTAAAATCATCTATAATCCCAGGTTAAAAGTGTCCCACTCAGTTTTTCCTTTGGATCCTTTTTAGGAATTTTGGAATGGTCATCCTGAAATATCTTTTTTCTGGGGTCATTTATTTTTTATTTTGGCCTGAGTTACTTGTTTGAAGATCTTTTGTTTTAGATGTCAAAGCAAGGTTTTACAGATTTTTTTTTAACTATTCTAACTTCTAAATTTCTTTGGAATGTATCTCCCACAAATGAGCTCTTCAACTACAAACTCTTGACTCTTTAAAGTAGAAGGCTATAATGGTCTCACTGCCTTATGGGTTATAAGGGTCAAGTAGATAAATTCACCTGCAAAATGTATTGTTAACATCAGACTTAACAATTAGAAACAATTGTATTTTATCATATTGGTATTTGTACTATTGCTATTCCTACTACCAAGCCTACATGTTTATATTATTTACAAAAGACTCACATAATTTACTATTTGTATGTGTTTCACTATTCAAGCAGAGGTGATAGCAATTTTAGTAGCTGCAATAGTAACTAGAGCGTTTCTTAAATGATATTAATTGTTCTGTAGATAAAGAAAATTTAAAGACCAGTAGTAGGCATAATATTACTTTTCTTTAAGCAAAGCTGATAACATGGAACCCTCACACAATACCCAATATTAAAATAAAGCTAACTTTTTTGATATTCTGGATCATGGAGCCGATTCTGAAATTAAAAAAAAAAAAAAAGTCCAGTGACAAATAATAGGTTCAGAAAGACACCCAGTGCCCAATGTCTCAAATCATGTTAAAGACATCTGTATACCATTCTTTTATGTAGGAAGCTGTCCTTCAAATAATAATATATTGATTCCAGGATGAAGAGTATTTTGAGTTTGTTCTTTTCTAATTCTGAAGATGCTTCCCAGGGCTTTCCAAGTTTTGGCTTTCCTCAGGGGATTCAAGATTGGCCATTATTATGTTGGTTCCAGGAGCTTCTGGTTGCTTATCATCACCATCAAAGATAATGTCTTCTGGATTTGGAGGAGGAGGACAGAATTCTTCACCAGGAAAGATCTCCTGAAACAGAGTTTCTGCTTGTTTGACTGCATGCTCATTTCCCAGTCCACAGTCAGGCCCAGAGCAGACATAAACATTTGAAGGTAAACCATCATAGGAGCTTCTGCTGATTCCCGAGGAATCTCTCATATTAAAATATAGAGCCCACAAAAGTCTTGGCTTTCCAAGTTCTTCTTTTTCTACTTTTGTTTCAGTAAAAGGAGTGAATAATTTCTTCACCACGGATTCTAAGTCTTCTCTTGCTGTTTTTGAAGATGCACAGGTCAGATGTACTAGATAGGTGTCTTTCATGCATGTCATGGTTGATGAACATAATTCCGTGACCCGAACAGAACAGGTTCCTGATTCCACTGGAGGCACTATCAAAATGGAAATCTGTTGATCTGACTCTGTCTTTAGTACAGACTGATCTGTAATGAGTATTGCCCTCGAGATCTGTTTATACTGCACATTGGAGCATGTTTCCTGAGAAAGGTAACTATCCTCCACAATAAAATATTTAGCATTTATTCTTTGACCCAAGTGATCTATAATTGCTTTACATCTACCAGATTCTTTGTCAACTACAAGGCATTGTACTTTATGGCGAAGACAATAGATTCCACCAAAAACAGCACACATCCTGCAAAAACACTGGGGAATTTCTCCTTGGCCATACAAGGGAAATAAAAATGGAGTGTTGCCAAACCGTCCAAGACACTGAAGGAAGTTTTTTGTTGCTTTAAGGCCATCTAATGTGCTACATGATGATTCTGATGTCATTGCAATTGAGTGTAGTATAAAGTGTTGGAGGCTGGGGGTTAACTTTTTAGTTTTTAAGTACTCTGAAAATGAACATTGCTTGAAATCTTGGTATTCATCAGGTTGTTGTTCATAGTCTAAACAAAAGGTAAGAAATTTCATCAGCATCCTTTTTTCAACCATAGTGAGTTCTTTGCTATTAAAGACATCTGCTCTGGAGCAAGGCACCTGTTCTACCTTTCCTTCCCGAAACGCAAGAATCCTAGTTACATTTTTAAATTCTGCATAACGACTAACATTTGATTTGATTAAAAGATCAATCAGTGATCCTTGGGAATATAGCAGCTTTGATACCAAATCAATATTAAATCTCCTGCCTTCTTCAACTATTAGAGGGTAAGTAATCCTATTTCTCTTTGGCTGATCAATGTTATCTTCTATTGTAGGTTTGTTTTCACCTTTACTCCCACCTGAAATTGTGTGTATACAAGTTTTATCTTTCTCTAATGATTCTTGTATATCAGTTACTTCTAGGGAAATATCTTTATCACTTTTTTGGGTATGTTGGGCAGATATTTCATAGCTAGTGAAGTATGAGGAGTCCCTTTCTTTGGGCAAGCACGCAGAATCCACAGATTCAATGAGGGTACTAGATGCCATTGAGGAGGGACTTTTCTGAAGAGCACCAATCTCTTGAACATTGTGCTCTTTATCTTGACTGGCATAGCAAAAAACTTCTATGTGTTGAATGGTTTCATCCTTCTTGCAAAGAGTGACGCCTTCCTCTGTTTCATGAATCAAGTCTTGCCAGGCAGTATTTTCTTCCTCAGTATCTCTGTTTTGCTGATACTCCTGCAACCAGGATAGCAATCCTGAAAAACTGAAACTAGCCCAATTCCCTCCATAGTAGCTTCTTGAATCAATATGTAGAACCCTCTGTCCACTTCTTGAGCATGCAGCAGCAAGGATGGATTCAGGCAGACCTGTCCCTATTATAACCACATCAAACTCTGTGGGGAGAATGTCTGCCATTCTAGGAGGCAAAGTGTCTTGTGACAGCTGCTGATGAAGGAAATGTGTATAAATCTAGGCTGAGGGCTCTGCTGAGGTCTGCTAATGTGTAATAAAATCTCTCCTTGTGATGTTCCAGTTCATCCCAGAAGCATTGGGTTTGCAGGTCCTAGTTGTTTAACTGTTTCCCTTTTTTAATGTATTTTTTTATAAGCCAGTAGCATAAAACCATGATAAAGTACATCTAATCACATCTGAGAATATTAAAACGGACGTGTGGTTTTCATTTCTGCATTTCGGCTTAGCAGTAAATGTCAAAATGCATCACATATGCATTTGTGACTGGAACTCTTCTCTGAAAGAAGAAAATTTAAGAAAGAATACAACTGTAAACAAAATAGAGAAGTAATTTCATGCAATACCAATTATAATCTACTGGAACCTGACTTAGTATCTGGATACAAACCTCTACTAAAGCAAGTCATCAAATGCTTTCTCACATATTTTCTACTTTCTTGAAAATGAACAATATAGGCATACCCCCCTCCCCAAAATAACTAGAATAATAAAGAATGAAAACAGTGGCCCACAAAAACAAAAAATAATTAGCATGACTTAAATTTTGGCTTTTAAGAAACCACTTGAATAAAACTATATACAGCTGTGAGCTTAGACTAAATGAAACGTGTGGCTTCACTGTGTACATGGAAACAGATCATGTTCTATTCAAATACTGTCACAATTAGGAATATTTCTGTGCCCAAGAGTCTATAGGTGATTTTGGTAAAGCCAAGCATAAGACTTTTTCTTGCCCCAACCACCCTCAGAATCTTGTGATAGCAATAAGCAACTATTTTGACTGAGTTAACCAGTCAGATTACTACATAAGAATTAATTCAATAAAACAGCTGGCATTTAAAAATATTTAGGCATAAAAAAACAGACCGAGGGGAAAAATGTATGTATAATCAGTCTTTATATGAACATACATATGCATGTGTGTATTTTATAATTTAAAAAAATTCCTAGTTTCATATATTAAAATATCGTAACATAAATATCACCCATTTCTAACATTTGAATAAAGTAATGGTTTGCATTTTGCCAAACTCTAACCCTGAATCTCTGTATCCCAAGAAAAAAGGTTTTTCTAAACATCCTCGGCTAAGGATAACAATAATATATTATTATATTTATTTTTGAAGGTGTGGTGCAGGAAGTCTCTCCATTAACCTCCAGCATGATGCTGGTTATTGTCTACCTGTAGAGCAACTGTTTGATGCTAGGTGTGGCCAGAAGTGGCATAGCCAACAGCCTCAAGGCATACTCACCTGGAAGTCTTCAGGTTAAAGACATACCCTACAGTGCTCTTTTCTATCCATCCTGGCACAGTAGCAGTAAAAGTTCTTAGACCTTTAATTTTTACTACCATTAATTCTACTGAAATCTAGACTGGCACAAGCTGGACCTGCCAAGGCCAGAAGGACTGATTATTATGGATAATGATTAAAAAAAAAGCCATTCAATCATAACTTAGATAAATTGACTAGGTTACTGACCCACTACTCAGTTTAACTGAAATGGTGATCCCAGCAGTCCTATCTAGTCAAAAGTTTCTGCTCAAGAACATTAGATTTCACTTATGTTCAGAATTCTCTGAGAAACAGGATCTGACAGAATACAACAATTGCCTTATTTACTCATGCATGCATATATATATACCTGATTTACTGATTACTCCAGTAAAAATATACTTATTTGCTGATTTGGTCTTCTTCTAGCAGGTTGTAAAGAGGAAGACAGAACCTATGAGGGTATTGAAGAATAACAAGCATGGTATATGCTTATTCTTGGCTTAGAAGGGAACAGGGCTGAGAGTAGGAGATGAGGATACAAGACATTAGCACCAATACCCAGCACCTTCTAAGCTACACATATCAAAGGAATACTCAAAATACAAAGTAAGAGGATGATCTTGAAGAACATTAAGCTCAATTACTCCATAATAAAAATGAGAAAACTGATGGCAGGGGAGACTTGAGAAAGCCCACAGGATCAAAAGCAGGACCCACTCTTTTACCCTAAGGCCAGTGAATTTCCCACTGGATGGGAAAGTCTCCAAATCCTATGGAACAAGCAGCTACTTCTGGCATTTTTAAATTCCCTCTCCCTTCAAAACTTCATGGTTGATTAGTTCTTGCTCAGGGTAACAACAAGAGAAACACTTTCATCTGTAATCCTAATCTAGAAGCACACTTCAGGCAAAGAAATTTTTAATCTTTACTAAGAACTTTTTAAACCCCACAGTAATCTCACTCTTGACTTGTTTCCAGTGTTTAACCAAGTCTGATCCTTTAATCTCAGAGTGTCTACCTCTAATTCTAAAATGAGGATATCATGGTTGAAAGCACTAACTAAACACCTTGAGAAGCAGAGCAGCCATTAGGTAAAATATTATGTGGCGAATGTTTCTAGCATCTTAGAAAAATCACTTCTGATTGATATGTGACCTGAGCAGGGATGGTAAAAGAGAAAAAAGGGGCATACAAGATTGTGGGGGCCAGCAAAGAAAACGGGTGAGGAAGCACAAATTAAAAACAAAAACAACCACAACAACAAAAAACCTAGATACATCCTTGTTTTCAAACTCCCTTGTGCACAATTTTCCAGCACAGAAAAGGCACTTCATGGAAATAAGAATTTTCATTTGTGTGAACCAACAACCGTTGCCCACCTTGGGGAGCTTTACTGATACATTAAGCTTAGACTTGAATCACCTTCTTTAAAGTTCAGCGGGGCCTACAAAACTGCCCAATAGATATCTTTAATTAACGTAAAGAGTGTAATCACAGAGTCATCTGTACATTTACAGTCCCTTCTGCAAGCTTCAAATTTTTGCATTAAGGAAATTCTCAGATTAATCCTTATTGGGGAGGAAGAGAATACTAAAATCATTGAGGCAATCAAATAAATGAAATCATGACTTCTCTGACATTTTCTTGTTTCTTTTGAAATATTAAGAAAATTAACCATGAAAAGGTGAATAAGAAAATATTTGTAATGGTGTTATAAAGACTTTCGTTCTCTAATATCTGCCAAGATAACAGTAGTAATAAATCATCAATGGATTTCAAGACTTAGAAAAGAAACTTCAAGACCTCAAAAATACACATTTCTATTTCAACTCTTTGTACAAATGAAATTCCTGGAACACACAAAGTAAGTTCTTTTCTAAGCTTAGAATATGTCTTGAATCATATACTGGGGTTGGGCATCCTTCAAAATGTCATCTCAATGAGACCTAAAAATCTTCCATAAGGATTAGGAATACTGTACAAATAAATCTTCAATCAATTGTCAAGTTCCACCTTTAATGAAATACATTGGCTACATAGCTAATTATTTGTTCACCTGGTTTGCGATTCTCTGAGCCGTTGATTTTGGTATAATGGAAAATATAAAGGAGGAAAAATACAATATAAAATACCTGATAGGACACATGCCAATTTGCATTCTAAGAACCTGAATGAAACTTTCTCATTCCTTAGGAAACAAAGGTTTACAACTACTAATGAGCAAAAGAAAAAATAATAGACTGCCACAATTTTAGGTCGCTACTTCTCATTTTAGGAAAGAAACAATATATGAATTAAATGTCTTATCTCTTCCTCCAACTTTCATGAGCTTTTTTTTCCTCTTGGATCTCTTGACTCTACAGGGCCTCAAAATGTAAAACGTTGTGGTGAAATAAATGCCCTGTTGAGTTTTATCAAGAGGTGAAAACAGAGACCTGAGATGAAAGATGAGCTTGCCTGAAGCCAGAGACTTTATGCAAGGGCTGGAGCCTGAAAGAGCAGCTCAGGATGAAGCCGCTATTTAGGGTCAGCGTGCGGGGGAAGAGGCGGGCCACGAGAGCGAAGTTGCGGCAGCGTGGGTGGAGGAGACTAGGGAAGGTGGCAGACACACCATGCACTGGGGGTCGCGGGGGGGCGGCAGAAGGGTGCCGGGGCTCTGCAGCCGTGCTGGAGCGAGGGAAGCCAAGCAGGAGGGAAGTGTCAGTGCTGGGAGTGGGGAGCTGAGGCGAGGATGCTTCCTCCTCGTGGTCCAACTCACCGAAGAGGCTGCTGCTGAACCCGTCCCACACGCAGCCCACGGTGTCCCACACCCAGCGGTTCCTTAGGCAGGACACGAAGGTAAAGGTGACCCCGAAGAGGGACATCAGCAGGTCGCCGAGGCTGATGTTGACTAGGAAGAGGTGAGTGGGTGTGCGGAGCCGCTGGAACTTGTAGTAGAGGACGAGCACCAGCAGGTTGCTGCCAGCGCCCAGCAGCCCCACGGAGCCGAACAGCAGAGCCAGGCGCTCATAAGTGCCGGGACTGAAGAGCGGTGTGGGGCTCAGCGTCCCCTCTGGCGCCGACCCCTCGGCGCCCGCAGGCCCGTCGCCCTCCCAGGAGCCCTGGCTGCCGCTGCGGTTCCCCGAGTACATGGCCCGGCGCCGGCGCGCTCGGCAGTCGGAGGCGCTCAGCGTCCGGGTGGGGCCGGGACTCGGCAGTCGGCTTTGGCCATTGCGCCGAAGGCTGCGCCCAGCGCGCGCTTAGGCACGCCCTCCCCGCCCCTTCCGCCTGGCGCCCCTCCTAGCCACGCCCCCGAAAGCGCGCCCCGCCCCTGGCGCGCACTCGTAGCCTCGCCCTCCTGCGGCGTATCCTCGTAGTCCCGCCTCTACTCTCTGGTCCCTCCTTCACTCCTGCCCCCGCGTGGATGCGCATGGTAGGTGAGTCTGGAGGTTAGGAACACAGGGAGGCAAATCAACCTCATTCAATGGTTCTGCACATTCCCATCTCCCCGCGCGCATTCAGCTTAAAAACATCATGTCCTCTCACCCATTCACTAACATACTTATGCATTCATTCATTCATAAATATTTATGAACGCCTGCATCTACCACGTGCTTGCAAAAGGGTTGGATTAAGTACATCCACACTAGGCTTCTTTCCCCCACCACCCCTCCCACCCCCCACTTA